GGAATGCCGTATCCAGTTCTTTCTATCTCTTCCTATGTAAACCTTCATGGTCTTTATCCAGCCAAAAGTATTTATACTACTTTTGTAGAATGTGTATTAAAACTTAAAGAACGCCGGCATTATTTTTTCAATGGCACAATATCGTTATCCACGTTTAATAATATAAAATCTGGATGACCGAGCTTTGCTCGGTATTTTTTTTAAATTGTGTTTTTTTGGAAACTATATTTAAGTACGAATTATTAATAAAATGATGAAATATGAATAATATTTTTCGATTTTACCGATAGAAAAAGATAAGTTTATGTTTAAATTGATTATCGATAAAACACGAATAAGCCGATTCCGAGATTCCAATTATATATATACAAGAATTGCCTCATTCAAAGATATAAGATTAATAATAATTATAACTTAATTTACAACTGTGAGTAACACAAATATTTAATTGTAACATTACACCGCTTTATTATTTCTTCATATCTTTCTTATAATTGTTGAGATTTGTGTTTTTATTGTTTTGTTTTATGTTTAATACTGATACGTAATAGTAGGGTACAGTTATACTAATTATTGCTATTTTATTTTAGCGTGTTTATTTTGTAAAATCGAATATTCCACAATTTGTTGATTTATTAAATTTAACATCCGAAGCTATAAATTCTAATTATGTCCAATGTTGAAAGAAGAGACTATTAAAAACAAAGTTTGTAGCGAGTCGATTTGATTAGGCGTTCCTTTCAGGCTTTGTTTCGATACCGTAGGGACTCAGTATCAAGTTATTACCTAACCGAATTGTTAATCCAATCTCATTTCTATACTCTCTAAGGAATATTGTTAAAGTTTTTCGGGGCTATACATTTTTATTCAACTGTTTTAATTGTGAATGCCATTACTGTACTAAAATCTAAGCAATATTTATTGAGTTTATATATTTTTTTTACTTTATTGTATAAGATTGCAAACAAGCAAACATCCACTTGAATTCACCGAATTAGCGAAACGACCGTTATCTATAGACCTCGAATTTGCAGTTGTATTAGTAAACGACTCTAAAGCAACTAAATGTATTGAATGTAATTTGACATGAAAGAGTACTGAAATTGTTCAAACTTTCGTGAGACATTATACTAAACTGATATATGAGCTAATATAGAGTGAGCGACAGGCCGCGTCCGCGAAATAATACCTGTACCACTCATCCTGATGATGGGCTCGAAACTAGTCGGTGCCGCCACCGGACGTATATACGAAAGAGTACTGTTTAGAATAGGTTGCAGAAAAACGCTAGTAATAATTAATAACTTTAGAGTATTTTGTTCACGCGTTATTTGATTGAAGTTACAATTAAATTCACATAATTTTATATACAATTACACTAAATTATTATTGATATCGTTATTAAATAAATAAATTAGTTTCTTTGTTTGAATTGAATTGAATTTTGACATGATTTTGCTGGATAATTAAATATCGGATTAATAATCGTATCCTATAATGTAATGATTAATAGTATTCAAATTAAAAAATGTTGGGCAATATTAAGACAGGGTTGTAAGTCTTAT